CTTCAAGACAATTTCTGTTGGTATTTTAGACAGAAAACAATAATCTAATTTGATTTGAAATGAGCCACTGGCACAACTATACAACTCACTATGCTTCATCCCCGCTCAAGGACCTCACAGTAACATTAAAGAATCTTTCATCTTTCATCAGTTTTGCTTGACCTATGACATTTATTTATGTGTTTGTTTTCATGAGATATCATAAATTTGAAGATATGTCGGAAATTCCTTACCGTATTGGTCGGTTGAGTAAAGGTTACATGCTGTAGATACATTTGATTTGCATGCAGACAGGGTATAAACGAGAAAGTGAAGATTTATCTGCTCTTGGAAGTGACAACATGACTCTTGGCAAGGACAATGAGCTTTTCACGACATATTGAAATGTATTTTCTTTCAGTTCATGGAGTTTAGTAGTCCACCATCTGAGATACATGGTGCTACATTTCCAAAGGCCAAGACGATTATCCTACAATGACACTGGTAGAATTGAGGGGTCATTTGGGATATGCTGTAAATCTGTCTATTTAGCAATATCTGCAAAACTGTATCAAAACATTCAACTGAAAGAAACAAACAGCATGTATGAGCATGCACAACGACAGGATGCTTACATTTTTATATTTATCTCTTGCATAAATCATGATCCTAGGATATAGTAATATAATCGGTATCATGTATACGTTGAATAAACTTATGGACAAAAGAGTTTGTGTTGAATTGTAGAGATTCTAGCTTGTGAGAGCACAAAGACAAAACATTGCCCATGTCTGTTTAAGGCTGATACAATAATAAGCATAGGTCATTGAGTTTATACAGAGCAGTCGGTCAGTTCATGGCGTCATCCACTCTGGACCAATCACATTACACGTTAAGGAGAAGGGTTGGGACTATAGCTCGTGTCATTCAAGCTACAGTTGTTTACCCCATTCTGTGAGTATGATTGGCTGGAAAAAACAAGCGCTGCCAGCAGACTGAAGTGAGTTATGGGATGTCTCACCTTTTGAAGTGGTGCCTGCTGCAGTCAGTTCAGTCATGGACTATTTGTGGCAAGTATTTATCATATTTGGGGACTAACATTTGTGCACATTCTCATCATGGGGACCTACCTGGATTAAGATTAAAATCAGGTAAAAAATGGAGGGTTTGAGAAACTATTAAAGATGATGTCTGCAACTTAAATTGCATTTCATGTTTATATGAATACATATTTTGGACCAAATGATCCTGTAGAACAGCCATTCCCAAACTCAGTAACACCGAGGCCCCCTTAAAAATCTGACGGGTCTGCGTGGCCCCCCAAAATAATAACCAAGAAGACAACATTAAGAATAGGCTCTTCTGGTTATTTTATTTTGGGGAAATAGCCTCTGCTACAAACATTGTAATACAAAAATGATTACAGTGGATTATTCAAGTCAAATAATGAACACAAATATTTTAATATTACAAACAAAACATTATAAATTTAACATTAAATAATTATATTATTTTTTTTATTTTTTTTATGACCTCCCGCGGCCCCCCTGCAGTACCCTCGCGGACCCCACTTTGGGAGACACTGCTGTAGAAGATAATGTATATTATATATAAAATAAGATATATAATCTATGATACAATAAATTATCATAAATATAAAATATATATAACTTATATATATTATTATCTTATTTATGATTTTTAAAACAAACATAATCATAAATTATAAATCCAAATCAGTCCATGGAATACATAATGACCTGGAATAACCTATGCAATTATCTTCAAGGTTCTGTAAGAAAAGCTGTGATGTCATAAAAGTACACAGACAGAGCCTGAGTATTCCCATACTGTGCTCAAATAATTTAGAACTGCCTGGAAACTCTGATAACAGTTTTTGCATGGATTTTGGGACCAATAACAGAACAGGGAGACAACAATGACACACTATTCCGTCGACGGAAGCTTGTAGTTTGTTGACGTGAAGCTTTCTTCCCTCATATATTTAACTTGCGAAAACAGCAGTAATCGTTCGGCTCCATTGTGTAAATATTTTTCTTTTTTGCTTCATCCGCCAGATTTCTCTTGACTTACATTATTGGGAAGATTTGCTGCATAAGTGTAGACGCATACAGTCTACATTTGTAGCGCACAATAAGCAATAGACTATCGTAAACCACACCTCAGACTGCACATCACTTGTGAGTATAAAATGTGGGTGTGTGTTAGCCTGGGACACCCACCAACAAACAGGGCTAATGTCAACTTACAATTTACTAATAAATAACAGTGTAGAAACAATGAATGTTATAAAATGAGACCAAACCAGTTACCAGCTTCTACACATTAGCCTCCATCCTTGTAACAAGCTCTAATTGACAGTTGAATACATACCCGAATGCACAGTGAAACCCCCATCTGGACTTGGTTATCAAACTGAGTAAAGCTGAGCAGCAACATAACAACTGCAGGGTGGACAAACAGCTCATTGTTTCTTGGCCCCCGTAAGTGACGCTTTCAACCACATCCAGACAGCTTTTTCTGCAGCGCTGTGATCTTAATGTCAAAGACGGACTCCTCGTTGGACTCAAGTAAAGCAGGATGATGTTCACGTTCTGGGCGGGAAGGCCTTAGGGTGTCATTTTCGAAAGTGCTCTCGCGTGAAGATAGAAAGGTAGGCGCCCCAAATCTGCAAGCTTTCTTCCCCAATTTTAGTTTTGTGCGTCACACCGGTTAGAATTGATACAGCTTTACATGGGCCGATAAACTGTGTTATAATTTGAACAAAGTGGTGTGCAGCCAAATTGATAGCACTTGCCGTGAGAGCTTTGCACGGAAACTGCCGATATGGCCAAATGTGTCAAAGAAAGAAACACCTTGAATAGACGACCCAAGCATGCAAAAGAGTGTAGAAGCATAAAAGAGCAACCCCCAAAAAAAACCTTTGTACGCATCAAGTATTTATTAGCTTCCTGAGCAGAGTTAGCAGCTAATGTTATACAAATCTTTGTTGTCTGGCATTTGTCAAGATTGAGATGAATGCCATGACCAAGGAAACATATGGCAATTTTCTGAAAACAGGAGAATTTGAATAAAGTAAACTAGTGTGAGATCAATAAGTCTATCTTATCTTATCTTAAAAACAGCAAGGCACAATAACTTTGTACACATTTAAACATATAGAATAAGCAATAAGCAACTCTCCAAAATCACATCCAAAACAATGATATGGTGTTTTTGAAAGGTCCACACACATTTTTTTAACAATCATTTTTTACCTTTAAGGCTGTACATATTGCTTCAAGTTAATGTGAAACTGCTATTCTTGAGTGGGATTATCCACCCAAAACATGCACAATAACAGAGAGAGTTGTCCTCCCTGCATTAAAGATTGTATTGTATTACCAAGGGCACTATATCCCAACACAATCACCTCTGCGGTCCATTTCACGCACTGTTATTGCAGGATTGTAGAGAGTGTATGCGGGTTTACAAGTGCGAATATGAGTGCAAATGGGGAACAAAGTGAGCAATGACAGACACAAATCATTCTGCATATATCAAGTGTTTTCTTCATTGGAGACACCAACTGAGCTTAGCCTTTCAGGAGTCCTACATCTATCTTCTTCTTGATGACACCCAAAGAGACTCATCACCTGCATAAGCACTTCTCCAGCTTTAGTCTGTATAACGTGTAGACATTTCAAGGTTGGTTTGTTTTGAAATGTCTTTTCTTAAAGCGCATATTTTTCATTCAGAGATGAGTGGTTATTTTAGGTCACAGTGTGTTTGTACTGGAAGTCTATACATGATGGCTATCGATGTTGAACACTTGAACAAAGACACAGCAAAAAGGCAGTATGCGATAACCCACCAGAAAAGTTCCACAAAGCACCTTTAGGGAACAAGTGCAAAACATTTAGAACTCTGAGACCAATGACCATAACAGAAGGTCATTGTTGTTAAAAAACACTCTTTCGTAACAATATTGTTCTCTCATCAAAAAACTGAAGTTGTTTTTAGATCTATCCATGCAGGACTCCACATCAGAAACTTCTGACACAAACACACCCCCCCCCTTTGATCTCAAGGTTTCTTTCTCATTCTTGTAATAGTATGATGCCTTGTTTTTACGTGGAACAAAAGTTTATATTTTTGCTTAATTGACCAACTTTTGAACAGGTTATGTCCATAGAGCTCCAGGATCAATTATTGTGTAGGTTTTCTTGTGCAGAGAAAACCTTCCAATAGTTAGATCCTATTGCAACCTGTAGACCACATCGTCTCATACTGGACGCTCATTCAGTCGTTGGGTCACTGTGTAGGGTAAAATATGCAAAACATAAATACTTTTTTGTTCACATAAAACGTTGCAAAAAGACCATTTCGGGCTTCAGGACAGAGATGAATTGAATGTGTGTGCTATTAATAAGAGATGGTGGCAACAGTATCCCCTATTATACTGTTTTAGAGGTAAGTTACTGCTTACTCCAATCAAAATGTTTTCAAAGTCAGAAGTACTGCAGTCCCCTTAAATTAAAGATCTCTCGTGGCTGTCAGTGTTTGTTGCGTTCAGCCATCAACAGGTTAATAGATTACGTATTTTGTCACCACTTCCCTCATAGTCATTTTAGTTGAATTTAAAACTTTGAAATAGATTAGAACCTTGAACTTTTCCCCAACTCATTCTTTATCAACTTAACGTAATGTACTTATAACTGTCTCCGCTACAACGTCTGCAACCAAAAGATTTTGCAGTACTCTATATAGGAAATTGGCATTTAACATGAGCCTTAAGCTAAACCTAGTCTTGTTATTGATTGAGTATTTGTGATCTAGTAGGCTTGGAGGGACCCAGGTGATTATACATTGCAGATGGAGACACATATTAAACATGTCTGTGTGCGCCGAGATGTCTTTTCCACAGAACACCGATCACTGCGGCTGGACCCACATCACTGCCAGACAGCACTTGTGTGAGGTTTTCTTTGGCCCAGTGGACAAAAGCAGTACAAGGAGGCTCAGCGTGTACCTTCTCCTCGCAGTCTTCTCCAAAACCCTGATGGAAAAAGGGTTAGGGGCTGTGGGAGTGCAGGCAGCCAGCACACACTGTATAAGGAACGCGCGACAACAAGAGCTATTCTTCTTTTCATCAGGTTTCACTATTAAGTTGCTTATAATTATACAATAACATGGTAATTGGATTTGGCTTCTGGTTACAGGGAAGTAGCAGGAAACGCTTGGATAACAGGTGGAGCTTTTGAGTCTGACCTTGCCTGACAAGTACAATTACAAGAGAAAGACCAGACAGAATCAAAGTGTAATAACTTAAATACAATAACAGGGTAGACACTAAGCAGTCCATGTTTGAAAAGAAGAGTAAGCAAAATCACTAGAGTTTACATAGTTATTGTTTTCTTTCATACAAATACTGGGCTACTTAAAAATGCACCAGACATGCTTGCAATACCAAACAAGGGTATCAAAATATCCTTGGTACAATAAATATAGAGATAGACGTAAGACTTAATATTGTGGCCTTCATTGCCTCTTTGTCCAACATTTTCAGCCTGAGTTTATGTGTGAACAGCAACAGAAAGGAAATTACTTAAGTTTTGATTGAGGTGACGCGGAGCGGAGACACAGGTGGCAGGACGCAGGAAGCCCAAAGCTCATTTAAAGGAGAATAACACATGTCCAGGTCACCACTGTACCAGGCAGAGAACGGTGCAATGCCGTGTGAAGTACGTTAGTAGTACCTCATGTATTTGTTGATTGGGGTTGTGTGTTCCACTGACCCCTCAACCAACCTTGCCCTTACCGGCGATCAAAGCTTTTGACGTCACTTCTCAGAGGATGTTTGTTTTCACTGCAAGATTGGTCCTGCCGGGTGGTGCCATGACTTAAAGCAGACTTCCTATTCACACACATGGAACCCAGTTCAAGTGTGTGTATGCGACTAAGGGCTTTCGCAATGATCTCACCTTGTGTGTCTGAGGCTTGTTAGCGATTACGACACAAACAAGCTGTTGGTGAGTCTACTGAGATATGTACAGTATGAAGTAAGCCTAAATAGTATTACGCAAAAGGAGATGAACAAAAAACATGCTTGGTCTGACTTCTGGTGGGACGATTTTCCTTTTTAAGAGATTATCACCGTGGTTAAATGAATTCCCAAACAATGAGAATGATATAGCTATAGTTCATCTGTTTTCAAGTTTTAAAGAATGCTACTCACCAACAACCACAGTGAAATCCATTCATTAAACGTGAAAAATTGGCTTACTTTTTGGCTGAATTTTCCTTGCCATCCCATCTGAGATCTATATCACCAATTACATACATACTATCCTAATATTACCATTAATAATGCACAAAAACAGAAATCACATAGTCAACCTTTAATACCATCTATATTTTGGTTGAGGTCCAAGTTTAAAACATAAGAGCTGGTTGGGGCCAAAAGTATAAAAGTAATTTACTCTTCATTCATCATTATCCTATAAATGTATTTTGACAAATTCATTTTTTTGACATGCATTTGAAAATTATTATCTAGTAGGTTTGGATTCAATCACAACTGGGCCAAATATCAAAGAATAATTGAAGTGTTATAGTTAAATATAAAAAATACATCTTTAGTTAGGGAGTTCACCTGTCCTGACTTTACAGTGTCATTTTGTAAAAATGCGTTCGGGAGCGTGATGGACTGAAAGGTTACTTGAAGTATATTTCTCATAAGTCACTTTATATGGAAAAGCGTTGCCAGCTGTCATTTTTTTTGACCAGCAAGACACACTTACGCTTCCATATGTAACAAATAAACTTCCAAAGAAAAATCTTGCGTTGTTTAGAAACTGCTTCCAGGAAACTTAAATACTGGGCAACACAGACCTGAGGATAAAACAATTTCAAAGAAGCTTCTGGAGTTCTTGACAAACATACACTTAGTAATCCACGGAGGTCAACGTAGGCTAGCAAAACATTTACATTTAACAAGGGAACTCAAAAGCCTGATGGGTCTGTTGACGCACACCTACATGTTGACTCAATTTTGTAGACTGATCTCATACAAATAGTTGCAATGGTGATGTCTGATCATTGTCTTCCGCGGGAGGTGCCAAAAACCGGGGAACATAGTGGAATAAAAGGGGATAAAAAGGCACATTAAAGGGAGATAAGGCTTTTGTGGGAGTGTGCTGTAATGTTGGAAGGCACTTCAGAAGATCAGAGCAGAGATTGGGGAGTGGAAGGGGCAATACAAATGTTAAATGGATGCAGCCAAGATAGATCTATGGAGAATTGAGCTTTATTTTCTGACTGACACAAGACTGACTGCTGTAATCTGGACCACACTGTACAATTGGCTTTTGCCGATCTTCCCATTTTTCTTAATTCCCATAACATTTCCTCTCTGCGGGCCTCTCTTTGGTGGTCTTTTCTGCGCTCATCCACCTGTTCACTTACATGGTCCAGCGTTCCCTAAATCATCAGTCATCGCTCCAATGATTAGTGGGCTCTGTGTCACGCAAAGGAAGTTTCTCTATCGAGTCTCTGAGCGAAAACCACCTGCGTCACAACTAGTGGAGTTGGATAAGTTTCACTCGGTGTAATTAGAGCTGGGCCTGGTGCAATTTCACACATCGGAGCGTCCAAGTGGCAGCGAGAGGGAGTCAGGAAAAGTTTTGACGATTTCAATAATGTGAATGTTGTTCTGGCGCAACAAAGCTCTCAGACCAATATGTTCAGTGCTGGCTGAGAAGGCCGCGAGGGAACCACAGAGTTCAAATCAGGTAATGTGTAAAACAAAAACAAAAGAAAAAGAAGAAAAATAGAGAATAAAGTTTAAATATTGTTATTTTTTTATACATTTATATTTTGATGTCTTTATTTTCAAAGGGACCTGCACTTGTTCTGGGTTAATAAAGACATTACAATTACTTTTGCAGAATTTCAACTTTTTTTGTCAGTATCTGTCTGTGACACACAGCTCCAAAGCACTGGGTTTAGCTAAAAATGGTACAAACTCTAATATGCATGACTACTTATTTTTGAACATGCTTTCATTTGAATTTATGTGTGGTGATATATTAAACATACAAAATTAAAGATGCTGACTTTGACTAAAGAAAGTCATTTGTAGCCAGGATGTTTGCTTTGTTTTCTTCATCTTTTTGTTTTCTAGATAAATTGTCACTTAATAAATAACAAAAAAATAATAAAATAAGATGACACTTCCCTATATCTTATATTTTTCCTCTATCTTACCGAGCTGTCAAAGCCGGCCAAACTGTGCTGGCGAGAGGAGCTGCTTCAAGGCAGAGCCACAGACGGTTCTCTTCTGGGATGGGTGCTGGTGGCACGGCGAGACATGCCTCGACACAGTCAATGAAGGAAAATCCCATGGACTATGTAAAACGCACAATGTGTAAAAGGGAAAATGATGAAGTGATTGATTTCAAGTTTAAATTCCTGCACGTGTTGTGATCATGTTGAGGTTCCATGTGTTGATGGCAAGAGGGTTATTTGAGTCATTTCCGTGGGCAGCTTGGTTTAATGAACATGGACACTGCATGTGAATGTGTCTGTATACATAAGTGTGTGTGTGGTTTTCTCTTCATTAAACACAATGAAACAAAGGGAAAACATAGTTTGAGTCCTTATTGCTCATTAACGTGTCCTCTCTGCTGTGCACACAGCTGTCATGCTGCTTCTACAGCACTTCAAACCAAACGGATTAATCAAAAGAGCACAAACAAACTAAACCTAACACCAGAGGGCGGACTTCACTGCTTGGCTTTCCTACATATTATATAGTTATATTGGAGTCACTGGAGTATATAATTGTTTTAATATAACTACAGACCTACAGTATAAAACACATAATCACTGCTTGCCTGTCAGCTGAGGATGAGCGGTTATTGTTAATGAGTCGCCTTTTAACGTACTGGAGAGGGGCTTAAGCAACCCCCCTCTAGATATTATAAAAAATCCATTATGGAATCACTATGATGCGTCTTACCCATACGGCCTCAAACAGCCAGCCCTGCAAAGTGGCTTATACCTCCTGTTGGGCCTTGTGCTGCCTAATCATGTCCAAAATCCTTCTCTGTCAGTACAGAGAATGATAATACTCACAATTAGTTGTCTTGGACTTGTTTTTCTCCTCTAAAACGATTACTTCTGTATTTCCAAAAAGTTGAGAAAGTGTACCTCTGATTTAGAAAAGAGTCTGTGCTTAGACTGAAATCATGGTAAAGCAATAAACATGAACATACATTTTCAGTGAAATGTGACATGGCCGGTGTATTTCACAAGTCATTTTTCACCACCCTGCAACGAGATTATTGCTTTTTACTGCATACTGATAAAGGTTCCAGCAAATATAATCACACTGAATGTCAAGAACACTCCCAAATGAAAAATCTCTTCTTCTTGCATCTCTGATTTTCAATAACAATAAAAGCTGCTGGCTAAATGAAGGAATAAACAACCCCAAGCAAAAAGTTTTGAGCATATTACTTGAGAGGATTTGGTCTGGCTGATCCGCTTTAGCAGCACCACAGAACACAAAATGGACCAGCAATAAATCATTCTCTGCTTTACTTTGCAACTATGGATTAAATGTCAGAAAAAGTAGAATAACTCTGAGTCAAAAGTAAGAGATGATTTTCAAAGTATTATCAATATTCTTTCTGTATGGCCAAATATACTGAACGTTAAGCACTACAACTTAAGACACAACACGACATGTTGAGATAGCAGTGTGCATGACGGTCTGAACCACCTGCACTGTACAGAGATAATCAATGACACACATGATTGATTATTTTATTATGCAAATTTGAAATTGCAAAAAAGTACATTGCCTCTGCCGATATACGTATAGGCAATGTAACCCTGGTCAAAGTACTACTAACTCAGTGGATCAACATACCTAATACAGTCTCTCTCCTTGGCACAACCACCACATAACAATAACAATCACACTTTTGTTGCCAGAGGAATCTTTCTGTTTGTAACACATGTAGCTTCTGATCTGATTACTGATGCAACCGC